CATCAATATTCTAGGACTGGCAATTGGCAGTGGTTTGGGCACCTGGCTGGTTGCTAAAAATGCCACTCGTCAGTGGGAGAATTACTGTGCATGAGCCAGGATAGAAACGTGCTCCATGGCCCACTCTCTTGCATGCTACACGTGGAGCAGCTAAGAATGCTGATGAGTCATGTGCCACGGTTCAAAGGCCCGAAGTCTCCATTCCCGGGCACTGGCTCTGCTGGGGTTAGCCCGATGGCAGTGGTAACGATACAGCTTCAATGCCATAATGGGTAACACCACAGGACATTATTACATTGTTTCTCTCACAAGCTGTGCAAGTCAGCCAGATGGCAGGAGTTTTACCATTCAAAGACACTATACAAAAGCTCTGCTCACCTGTCTCAATCACAACTTCCAGATTGTTCTTCTGATCATTGAACCAACCAGGGATCTCCACACGGCAGCAGTACACCCCTCCGTCTGCTTCTGCCGCATTCACTATGGTGAGAGACACATCCCCCTGAGCAAGATTCCCTTCTAACCGGTACCTGCTGGACTGAGGCTCCGTTACCCTCCGTCCATCTGTCCAGAGAATTGTCTGAGAACATTGGGAAGAAGGACAGCTGCCCCGGCCCCAGCACATTTTTGTGATGTCCTTTTGGTGATTAACTCGGTATTTACAGGGCAAAGTGACGTTCTGACCCACCACTCCTCTCACTGGAGAGCCTGACACTGTGAGACCTGCAGACAAAGATACAACAGTAATTGAAACAGGGCTAGGATACAATGCACAGGCTAATGGGACCTTCCTGGCATCTCTGTCACAACACAACACCGACTCTGTAAGCTCTCCACGTACCTCCACTGCAAGTGGGTCCACTGAGGTGTGTGTTTCCCCCTCTTCCCCCAACAGGGGAGGATGACAGCAGGACACACAGTGTGGCCATGGTGCGTTTGCCCACAGGGTGATTCTGTCCAAGCCCAGGAAGCACTGATGTGCCCAGTTGCTGTCTCACCCTCCTGACCATGGCTAGGAAGATGCAAGGAGAACAGCTCTTGGATTAGCCCCACCTACATATGGGCAATTCTCTCAGCAGCTGTGTGTGCGGCTCCCTGACCTAACGGGAGTTCAGTTGTCAGGACCCAGGACAGTTTGGGAACCGTGCAAAGGCACACAAATCCATCTTCATGTGGGTGTCACTTGTTTGTGAGGGAAGCTATCCTGGCTAATCCTCCTGACAGTGGCTCACGACCCCTATTGTGTCCCTGGATGGTTCCCACAGGCAACTGTTACAGATCCCCTGACAGCAGTGACTATAACCACCTCAGCTATAATATGGCTTTGCGCATATTCAGTTCTCCAGACCCCCTCTTGACTCCTCACTCGCAGGGGTTCAGGAGAGTATGAGCCTCACCAGGACCTGTGCAAGACTTGTTCCTGCAGTACCTGGACCTGATAACTCAGACCCAGTAGTTCTTAATGGGAGGATCTGGTTGGGTTTTACTCAGTCCATGATCCTCTCCTTCCTTTCCCTGTCCTTTCTGAGCCAGAGCCCAGACACAGTGTGAGGTGGAAGCATGTTGCTGCTGCAGGCTCACAAGCCAGATTACTGCCTGTCTCTGGCTGCAGGGGTAAGGAGTTTGGTCTAATAAGCTAGCACAGGGCAGCTGGCATGGGCTGGTCTCCTGGTGGAGGCAATACTAGGAGAAACTGGTGAGACAGACTTCGACGGCTGAATTCACTTGCATGAAGACGCTGTGGTTTCAAAATTCCCTAGTGGGCACATATTCTGGGCTAGACTCTCAAGATAGCCCTTAAGGCATGTGAAATTCAGCCCTATGCAGAGATCCAGCACAAAGTATATGCACCCCTTACATCCTGCTCACTTTGAATCGCATCTCTCATGGAAGAGCAGACTTGTGCTGGTCCTCTGCACAGGGCCAATCTTCACCCTGGATCTGCAGTTCTCCCTTCCTTGAAAAATGCTGGGCCAGTGAACTTGCACGTGCACCTGATATTGTGTTTGCAAGTAGCCAGTTAAGTGGCAGAAACCCTTGGAAAATATCCTTGTAGTGAGCTAGCTTTCGCTCTTTTTCCTCAATAGTGGGTGTGCTCATGCACACGCTCAATAGAACAAGGAATAAAAGACAGAGCTAACTTTAAAACCCCCCATGCACCTTATAACCTGTCTTCCTCTTTGGACACATGGCATCAGGCTGCATTTCCTTTTAGAATTACCATAAATCTAACATCCTCCACTCCCACCAGATTACAAACTTCCCCATTCATCTGAATAGGGATTTCAAAACTTTTCTGCCCTGCTTTTCAACTTCTATATTTAATTCACATACTCTGTGTATGCGAAGTTTTGTCTAGTCACCTAATTCAGTCGTAAAAATCCCTTTGGTTTCCCTGTAAATCGAATGGCCGCAAAACCAACACACGAGAGCTGTAGGAAGCAGCAGTATTTCTGTGCCAGCTGTACTGTTTCTCTCTGTAACAGTTCCAGGATACTGTGTATTTACTCCTCCTCCAATGCATTAAATCTTCTGTGTTAAGGGTGTTAATCAAAGTCATTCCTGGTCGGTTGATCCAGGTATCAATCAGAGCCAGCCCTTAACTGAGCACACAGAAGGAGAACTCTGAATACTTATTCTAACTGCTCACATTTCAAAGGAAGCTCTGCTGTTGATAGAACAGGTATTATAAACGTCCTATCAAAGGGAACAGTAAGGTATCAATAGCCTTAATTCCTCAATCAAGTAACTCCTAATGCTACCGGGGTAGAATGCTCTGCAGTGGGTGTTAATACTTTCCAATGCAAATGGGTCCAGTATAAATGGGTTTGTATGTTAAAGGAGATCAATATTAGGAAGGGGTTAGTAAAGCTAATCCTGACCTTTTCTCAGTGAAAACACAGTCGAACACCTTTAACCTTGATTTAGGTGGGCAAGGTTGATAACATTAGCTAATCAACCTCTTCTCTTTTTTTCAGGAAAAGACCTTTTGAGTAATAAATCTGTTTCCTACTACAACTTTGCCACAGTAACCTGTGAGAAACTCAGCTCTGACAACAGACTGTATTAGTACTTAATAAAGGAACATTTTTTAATCCCACCTCTTATTTAAAAAAAAATAATAAAAAAAACAGAAGGAGACAAAACGTGTAATCCCACTTTACAGCATATGCACCATAGCCTGCCATTTTTCATTTTTTAATTTAAAGCAGATCTCCCTGGACTGACGGCATTATGTGGCCCCTTATCTTCACAACTGTTTCCATCACAGTATAGAAAGACAAATACGTTTTATGCAACTGTAGTTCGCCAGTAGGTATTTCAGCCCCCGCTGCTTGTGGTTCACATTTGGATGATTATTTTTGGAACCGTAATGCCCAGAAATTTCCTTTTTATAACACAAAATGAAAGCTGGAGGAGTTCCACAGAAGGCTATTGAACAGCTCCGGCTTATTATTAACGTTGCAGAAATTGCAGAGTCTGTGCAAACTACAACACTGGGACACATGACCAGCCTTATTTCGGAGACATCAAGTTTAGTCCACATTTACTCTCTCTCCAGGAAAATTCAGTAACTATTATACACGAATTGCTTGTCAAAGCCCCATCCACTATCTGTTAATCTCTTATTCACCTTAGTTACCTGTAAATAGGACCATTAGGATCCACTGCAAGATGAAGTAAGGAGCCATGGTGATAACTGAAGAGAAGGCAGAGAACGGTCTTCTTTAAACTTCTCCAGCGCTTGGGGGAAAAAAAGTTCTTTTCCGACACAATCTTTTATTTTCACTTCCCTAATGTCACAAATGTCGTCACACTTAACAGACTGAATATTGCTCATAGGCCTAATCAGGGTTGCCTTTTCCTGTGGTTAGCCTTTTGCTCTCTTTCTCCGTGTCCACACGAGCAATTAGCTGTTGCTGCCAGTGGGTGCACATGGTTTAACTGCAAGAGCAAACCACTCAGAAGCATTTCAGAAGCCACGGTTACAACCTGCTTGACCACAGTTTCTGAAATAGCATTGAGCTCAGATTGTCCTTATTACCACTTGCAGTTAAACTCTGTTCAGCTGCACCTGTTTCTTACACCCAAACTGTGGTGACATATAGAATATTTTTGATGTTTCTTCCTGCCTCCTATTATCCCCGTATGTTTAGCCACATTGCATAAATATAGCAAAAGACTTCACATGAATGTGTAGTGCAGAGAGACAGATGAAAAAGAGACACAGAGGCGGGAGCTCCTAGGAGAAACATTGGTATTAATGAATTCCCAAGTGTTTATAATTCATACTACCCTAACACTTGTTCATTCTTTGGAATAATGTATTCTGACTATTTCCATCTGGCTGGCTGGTGTTGCAAAAATCCTCTTGACCATCCAGATTATTAATCACCCAGATAAGACCGTGGGACCCACCACCAAAAAATATTGGAAGACCCACACTGTCCCACTGCTGTAGCCTACAGGGAATTGCAGCATGCTGTCATTAAAAACATTCAAGTGATGGGAAAGATGACTGACCTATTGGACGACTTCTCAGGACCACTGCTTGCCTACTTCCCCCTTCAACAGGATACAGGGAGTGCACGATTCCCAGAAAACATCTTAAAAAATGTCTTAGAGGCCAAGTCTTTAACAGATTTCCTTTTCTCATTCTTCGGGTGGGATCTTGGAGGAAGATGCTTTGCTTTTTTCTAATTTCTCTCCTCACAGGGAGACTTGACTCTGCAACAAATTGCTTATAATTAAATTAAACACTGACCATGGATTTAAATTAACAAAACATATTTCTGAACCATCCCCCTCAACATTTCCGTAGTTGAGGTGTGAGAGCAGTGCAAAATTCTACTATTTACAACTCACCAGAAACCACTATGCAGAGAGGGGCTGTGAATCCCATCACTGGTATCAGGCAGTGTGATAAATGAGCCAGTATGATTAGACACGCGCCATTTGGTTTTGAAGCTTAAATGTCAAAGATGAGACTCTAGTTATTCTTGTTAGCTGTGACCACAAACGGTTCAAGATCTCAGTAATGAGGGTTAAAAACAGGGATGAAAGTAATTTAAATGACTTACTGGTACGCAGGGTGACTGGGGTCCTGAGCAAGGTGGGGGGGGCACGGGTTTGGGCCCCTGGAAGGGGTGTGGCCTGAGGGAAAAGGGGTGGGCTGGGGCCAGACTCCCCCAGCCAGCCCTTCAGTGCTGCCTGGCCCGCGCCGCCCGGGACTCCGGCGGTGATTTAAAGGGCCTGGGATTCAGGCCGCTGCCGGAAGCCCCAGGCCCTTTTAAATCGCCAGGCCCAGGGCAGCTGCCTTTCCACCTCCCCTACCCACCACTCCCAACAGCAGCCCTACCAGTACCGTCGGCTGTGTACCGGCAGCCACTTTCCTACCAGTACACCGGATCGGACCAGCTTACTTTCACCTCTGGTTAAAAACCAAATAAAGGGCTTATCCAGACATTCATTTTATACCAAATGCACAAGTTAATAGATTCCCCAGTTAAGTGACCTTTATTGAATTCTGTTTGCTACCAGAAATTGGCAACACACCAATTAAAACCTTTGTTTCACTTCAGCAGCTATTCACCACATAAAGATGACTATGACGACTGACCACTCTACCGGCAGTGGCAGCAGAGGTGGGCACCGGCCTAGAAAGACTTAATTCTACAGCAGTCTGTCAACCCGGAAGTTTTCTGCGCCCACTAGAATTCACTTTCATATTTTAAATTATATACAATGTCATTGAAATGATCCAAGTCCTTCATTCAGCCCAAGATACAGTGGGTGACATTTTTAAAAATTAAACATTGTTAGATTTTTCACAAGAATTAAGTATTTAATCAGAGACAGGTCTCAAGGAGTCTTGAAGTCTGACATGTCTTTTTATCTGCTTGCAAATGTAAATTGTTGGATTTTGGAATCTTCCTGCTTCTTTTGGGTGCCTGGTAATGGAGAATAAATCGTTATGAGGCAGGTGGAGCACAGAGCAGAACCACTGATGCTGGATGCTTCTCTAGTCTCAGCTGGGTAATAGTACCCAGGGCGGTTTCATTGAGGAGGGTGTCAAGGCTGCTTCCCCACTCTGAACTTTAGGGTACAAATGTGGGGGCCTGCATGAAAACTTCTAAGCTTAACTACCAGCTTAGATCTGGTCCGCTGCCACCATCCCAAGGCTAGTTCCCTTCCCTGGGTAGCCTTGAGAGACTCTCCACCAATTCCCTGGTGAATACAGATCCAAACCCCTTGGATCTTAAAACAAGGAGAAATTAACCATCCCCCCTCCTTCCTCCCACCAACTCCTAGTGGATCAAGATCCAACCCCCTTGGATCTAAAAACAAGGAAAAATCAATCAGGTTCTTAAGAAGAAGGCTTTTAATTAAAGAAAAAGGTAAAAATCCT